TTAGCTAGTACATTATAAACATACAGGTAATTATTACTTATAATTTAAATATAAATAGTTCTTAAGGAATTTAACTAGTATAAATCTAAAATAAATTAATAATAAGGCTATTAATATAGTAAGCTAATTTTATATATACTTTAAATTCTTAGTTATATAGGAATTATCTATAAAGCTACTTACTAGCTAAGAATATAACTAAAAGTTAATAGTGTAATGTAAGGATGTATTTATAAAGCTACCTACGGGATTAATTGTCAGGCTTGGAAGTTGGTTAATTACGTGCTTTCTGCTAATTCTAGAACAAGCAGGTTACCCTGACGGTGAGAGTTAATTGTAATACGAACTACGGATACAACACGAACCATGGGCTCAAAATCACGGTTCCCAGTCTAAAAGAGCGTCATGGTCACGTTGAACTTATGAAAAATACCCTATAGTTACAGCTCGTGCGCGAGACTCCGAGCACTGATGGTTCCACTCTCGGCTTTAAATTACGGCAAGTTTTTCAGTGTCTGCCGGACCCGACGGTGTCTCAGAGCCCAGCCTCCCCCGCCTTGGCGTCCACGAATGACGTCCAGACCCGCTCGAGCTGCCACTTTTCAAGATTTGGTAGTCCCGTAATGGCTTGGCTTGACGGCATTTCTGTTGAGCTATTTGGTCTGTGTCTCGTCCGGGACCTTCTGGAGAGGAGTACATAATAGTATCGGAGGGAATGCATAAATAGAAGAGTCCTTGTTTTTACAGGACTTACACGTTCAGGCGGTCAGTCTTACTCTTTCTGATGATGCAGTGAGACTGCCTTTTTGTTAGACCTGTTTAGTAGAGATGCACAATGTCGTCACTGTCCTCTCTGTGCATGCAGTACACGGCTGAGGCTGGGCTTAATTCACCGATCTACCAAATCACAGCCGTTTTTGTGAATCAACCATGCCGTGTGACCATTACGTCGAAATGTCCGGTCTCAACAAAGAAGCATAATCCCAATTCAGCACTAGCGGGGCGGTCGATACCCGGGTAGGGCCATGATCAGCCCCTGGCTCATCTAATAATAACCCACCCGCCCTGTGAATACGAGCTAAGCATAATTCTTAATACAAAACCCCATGCCATAATAACATGATGCACAGAGCAGTCGGATGTTTCGGCATGCAATCCATGAAATCCACTGCAGTGCTGGGCAGGATTTCCTTGCATGTATTTGCTGATCTCAACAGCCCCGCAGGAATATCACGAGGCCAGAGTTTCTCCGGACAAGACGATGGATCATACTTCGTATAGGTGATATTAGGGCGCAGCTAGTGCACCGTACTTCGTATCCTATTCCAGAAGCCCAGAGGTCAGATCCCAATTCTCACATAATATAAAGGCATATATTTACCCAGCTCCAATTCACTTTTACTATCACATCTCATCACTCACCCTCAATCTTCTCCATCACAGCCCCTCACATCTCAAACCTTCTCATTCCCAACTCTAAACCGTCACCATGAAGTTCGCTGCTTTCACCGCCCTCGCCGCCGTCTTCGGCTCTGCCGCTGCTGCCAACAAGGCCAATGTCATCAACGACTGCACCAACACCATCTACGTCCAGTCTTTCCCCTACGGCGGCGGCGCTCCCGGCCCCTTGACCACCGTCAAGCCCGGCCAGCGATTCTCCGAGGATCTCCGTGCGTCTGGCTCTACCATAAAGATCGCCACCACCCGAACTCTCACCAAGCCGCTCTTCTTCGGCTACTCTTCCGAGTCTCAGCCCAACAACGTTTACTGTATGTTTCCCTGCTGCCTTGACCCAAGGACACCACTGACATTGCTCTTCAGACGAGTTCAGCACTGAGTACGGCAACCCCTTCGCTGACAAGCACAACATCTTGAGCCCTGGTGAGGGTTGCGAGAAGTTCGACTGCAAGGCCAACGATGCCAAGTGCTACAGCACCCCCAGCATGAAGAAGGTCTACGGCTGCCCCAGCCCCGTCAACCTGTACGCTAAGGTCTGCGCTAAGTAAATTGGCAGCCTTGCCATCAGCTTTGCTTCCAGTGGCATTGAATAAGACCAGGTCAATAGATATCGGCCTGGTTTCATGGATCAATCCGCTGGGTTAATACTTCTTCGTTATATATATTATTTAGCGGCTTCATAGTCCTTTAGATAGAGTACTTCCCTTAAATCGGAATACTAATATATATTAGTATTTTTAACTAGCCTTACACTTAGTTGTCCTTGCTATTGCTATTAATTACTACCTACATAGCTATAATATAACCTGTAACACTTTCTAAACTAATTAGTTTATAAATTTAAAATAAAAAACCGTAACTTATTTTATATAATAATATATATAGTATGGAGGGAACGTGAGTATCTTAAGTCTCGTGACGCTAAATTGTGTATGCCTTTAACTTACTTATAATATAATCTTCTAAATAGTTTTAGTCCTGAACTAGCTAAAAACCTCCACTTTATTAGCTTTCTTAACATATCTTTTAAAAATCTTAAGTTCGAGAATGTATTCTGTCAGGAGATAAAGAAGAGGATACAAGCAGCTGCATCACGGCTAGAAAAAGTTTCTCAACTAACGGAACGGCTATAAGCTGTAATCTCCAGGATTAATTATATGTAGAATTAATACTAAGAGGCTCTTGTGACGAACTATACTGTATGCAATTTATTCTATAGAATAGTACATAGAGTATTTGCTATAGTTAAGATATTATGGATTACTGGGTATCGGGATTGTATAGCCTTACGAATGGATATTGTGATAGAGAGGTCTGTATATCGAGCATAGTGATGAGCAGCTATCGAGCATCTCTATTTAACAGGAAATTATTCAAGTATGGTCCGAGAGTAGGGGACTGGCTACAAGACCTATAGTTCAAGATAGAGACAGCAAATCGCTGCTAGGTTATCGTCCAATCAGGGCTGTAGCTCCGTATAACAAAGATCTTGATGCAATTATGACATGATCATGATTGAGTAACGCTCGGTATCCTACTACGTAATGCCATGATTATCAAGTCATGACAACCACAAGAACCATGAGCGACATATGAGCATATTGGCCTGAGCTTGGACACCCTGCAAAAATATACGCTTTTATTGGCTAGCATTGGTTCACTGTGTTGGCTTGATGTCTCATTGTCAATTGAGACGTGATAAGCTTTAAGTATCAATCAATCAAGCGGCTAGCGTGGCATTGTCATTTCCAGCGCCTGCAAGCATCAATTATGCTTGATAATGCGGACCCTTGTGATGAGAACACAGCTGCAGATCAATTGATCTTGGCTCAATTAGAGTTGCAAACAAGCTCTTGATGACCATGCACGGAATTGATGACAGCAGATGAGGGCTTCCGCAATTGTCTCATCAGGTAATTGGTATACGCTCAGCGCAATGACAGAGCAAGATGAGACATTGAAGCTGAGTTCCGCAGCTGAAAGCTTATCGCGGCGCACCTTGGGTATTCAGCCTATTAAGAAGATTAGACTGGCCGAACTCGGGACCTTATCGCGCGACAAAGTAACTATATCAGCAGTCCATGCATGCTGTTGATGGAAGCAGACCGACGGCAGATCCTCCATGCTTTACCCCCTCAACACCAAAATTTTACTTCTGTGCAGACGAAGCCGCATTTAGACGACTGTAACGGCGGTGTCAAGCAATTGGGCTGTCGTGGAAGTCAGCTGGTGCCTTCTGAGCTGTCAGTCGCCGGCAGGCTACCGTTTAATGGCATAGCGGCGGGTGATACTCCGGGAAGCGATGCATATTTCTGTAACATCCATATTCTAGAAAAGGTCCAGAACACAAAAGATCAGGTTCGTTATCTAGAAGCAATTGAAATGCCGTGCCATGGACACGCGCTGTTGGTTGGAACCAGAGATAGCAGAGCAAAAAACACCCCGCAACCGGCTGCGATTTACCGATGCCGAACCAGGTTGCGTCACCCGATACGGGGGACCCAAAACATGGCGATGGGCACGGACACAAAAGTCCGGTATCTCTGAGCGAGATGCGGAGGTCCAAAGACAAGATGAGATGCGGGGTGCGATAACCTAGAACGCGATAGGAAATTGTAATACAAGTACCGCGGATGGCTTCAACCAGCTGATGCGTCGCTGCGACATTGCACCGATACAAGAGGGGAATGTGACCCGGGGTTGACGGCGTAGAACCGTTCAAGCGCGGAAGCAAACTCCATGGTCCACTTGATCTGCGCCCAATCCCGTCAATGGCATTTGTCGCTGGCACCAGAGACTTAGTCCTTATCACCGATCACATGACCGGTTGCTTAGCGGGATGCCCGTTTATCTTGCAATCATTCGATCGTTGTTTGGGCCAAAGTGGCGTCGACCATGGGAACAGAATGTGCGGCCGGGTCTAGATCAATGACACGCAGCAAATATATAGATTGACATGTTCCCCTTCCCAGCAGTTGATCGGTAAACATCCATCAACTCCACGGTACTCTGACCTCCCAGCCAGCAATATGTTGACTCTCGGCACACTCATCTTCTTCGCCGTAGCGGCTGCCATCGCCCTCGTCGTGAAGACACTATCTAAACCGCAAAAGGAAAACCTTATTTCAAGAGCCATCCCCGCTGCTGCACCCCTCACTCAACCCCTCCCCTCAACATGGTACAAGTCAGACGACATCTACGAACTTGAGCGAAGAGCCATCTTCTCAAAGAAATGGATCCTGCTCACTCACAAGATGCGCTTCGACCAGACTGGCGCCTGGGTCCGTTACGCTGAAGCTGGTTTCGACTTCTTCCTCATCCGAAATGCAGAGGGTACCATCAGGGGCTTTCACAACATCTGCCGACATCGCGCTTTTCCCGTCGTTGTCAAGGATAATGGCCAGAACAACGTCCTGTCCTGCAAGTATCACGGCTGGTCCTACGGCATGAACGGTCAGCTTGCCAAGGCTCCCCTGTATCAGGATCTCCCTGGTTTTGATCGCTCCAAGAACGGTCTCTTCCCTCTTCACACTCACATCGATGCCAAGGGCTTTGTCTGGATCAACATGGACGCCAAGGTTGTGCCTGAGAACCCATGGAGTGAGGAGCTCAGCCAGACAGCGAACCACGGATCTTTCAACTTTGAGGACTACAAATTTGACCACGTTAAGCAAGATACCAGCAGCTTCAACTGGAAGACGTTGGCCGACAAGTCTTGCACTGGTAGCAACATCGATAACTTTGAGAACGCCGCTGAGAAGAAATCTGTTGTCAACGACTTCTTCTTCCCCAACGCCTCCATGACCCTCTCGTAAGTTCCCCACCAACTAAGTTGCAACGAGCAATGACTAACTGATCCAGTCCTCATTTCTTCTTCCTTTTGCGATGCGTCCCTACATCAGCCACAAAGTCCCAGCTACAATATGAAGTCTACCGCCACAAGAATGCCAGCGAGTCCGACTTCAAGAAGGTCGAGGAGATTCTCCAGCAAACAGCCAGCGAGCAAGAAGCCCCTGCCGAGAAGAACCTCCGCGCCGGCGTCCTCGTTGACCAAACTCCTCTTCAGTTCCAGAACCAAGTGTATCAACTAGTCGAGCACCACCGCAAGCTCGAAGGTGTCGCTGGTCGTGAAATTCGACCCGCTCAGCAGATTCTTGACAAGTCTGCTACCAAGACTGAGCAAGACGAGAGTCTCTACTCTTCCTGCTCTGGGCTCTCATGTGGTAAAATAGCCAAGGATCTTGCTTGGTAATCGTGGAGTTTGTAAAATAGAATTGGCGTATAGATGGAGTGGTTCTTGCATATAAGGTTACAGACGGTATAGAGAGAAGATTTATATCGGCAGCGTCTTGTAAATGGGTTCTTAGTTTAATAGCATAGTTATGACAATAATGCATAGCTCGATGAAGTATTCATCATGTCCTTCTATCTCTTCTTCTCGTGGCAGTCCTCCTGGCTGACGCAAACAGCGCCAACCTCACATGTTCTAAGTTGCGAGCTAGACCTTTTGTTTGAGGTTGGACCTATCGCTGAAGACTTATACAACCGCATACCGCTACAAGGTTCGGCTGATGACTATGTATCTATGTAGTCTTTTCCAGTACAAAACCTTTGCAGGCCCAGCACGCAACAACAAAATCCCTCTTCCCCGTCTGCATCTCGCCCGAGAACTCCAGCTTATCATCTCTCTCAACCGCAACAATCGTTCCATACTCATCAATCCACTGTGTGACCTCAGTCGAGCTCTGCTGCGCCGTCAACAGAAAATTCTTCTTCCAATCATCACAATCGCGGTATCCGCGCTTATGCATGAGGGCCTGCATTAACCCTGTCCTCTTCGATCTTGGTCAAGGCGCGCTTGATGGGAATCATATGGTAGAACCTGCATACCCGGCCAGATTTCTCCATTGCGATGTTTCCCTGGATGGTACCTCTCTTTTGGCCCCTGATAACAATGAGTGGCGTGGGGCCGAGACCAGCGGCGAAACTGAAAGGGATGTTCATCTTTTCGCCAGAGTAGAGTGTCAGATCATCATCGTATCTGATGAAAGCGTCGTTTCCTGTAGCCTCACCCAGGCGACGAACTTCGCTGGGCAGAAGTCGGCAGATTCGCAGCTGCCATGGATTTCCGGCTTGAGTATTACGACTAGAGATGTGATATGTTGGCGTGGCAGGACTGGTTTCTGTTTCGTATACATATCGGCCCTGAATGTTGAAGGACTGTTTGGTTGGAGAAATGGATGCCTGAGAGAAGAGAGGCGCCTCTAGTCGGAGTGACAATGCATTGCGAGGAGCTTCTCAGGAAGAACTTGACTCGACAAGACTGGTCTGACTCATTTTGGAAGAGATTGTTCTATGTAAAAACTTGGTTAAATTTTGAAATAGGCAGATGAGTTTATTGAACTGACTTTGATAAACAAATGTTAATGTTTTATATTAACAATACGCCCGTAATACGAAAACGTTCGAGTGCTGCACTGTAGCCAGGCGTTGGAGATATCTTAACCATGCTGACTCGAGCCACACTGGACAAACAGCTATCCGCTTTGGGCAGGACGATTGGTTCAGCTCGAGAAATGCCTCAAGCTGACAGTAATCGCACATGTTTCAAACCAATATGCGCCATTAAAGAAAAGATTCAATTGGCTAGCGCGGATGCGACGGCAATAAACTGATCCTTCGTGACCTCATATCTGCAAAAATATCACCGCCTCTACTCCAGACCTTTGATTGCCAAGACTTATCTTATATTCTCGGGACCGAAGCTAAACGGTAAAATGCGGTAAAGAAGATAATATTAGACCATTGTGGATAGATGTCTTGCTCACATTTGACAGTGAGGAACAAGTCCTACGTATTATAACCTCACTGTCAGTCACCTCCGAAGGTGTAAGAGCATCATACAAGGCCTAAAAGTGGTGTCAGCTAGCTATTTAGCTGAGATCTAGAGCGACGACTTGGCGACTCTATCCTGCGCAGTAAGGACTCTTTCTTCGAATCCACTCTCCATATCGCCAAAGCACAATTGGCGCTACAAGACAGATCAAGATGGCTGTACTCGCGAGTAGGCCATTTCCCCACGCGATCCCAAGACTTTGATACATAGCAGGCGCAAACAGAGGAAAGCTAAAGCCGGCCATAGTACGGACAAAAGCAGCTGCTCCCGTCGCACTGGCGGCATATCGCTCATAGGAGTCAATGATGTACGTCTGGGCACATTGGAACGACAGAATCAGTCCCGCAGAAAAGATTGCTGTCCCGACGTTTGGGATAACCCAGTGAAGTTTCAGATGTGCCGAGACCCCGTATAGAATGAGACCTGCTGGCGTGACAAGAGCGGTTGGGAACATCAGGGGTACGCGAAATTCAGGGCGCCCAGGGTGGTTATACCGAGTCTTGAGCATTGCATAAACCTCCAGAGTGTTATTACAAGATCATAGGATGAGACGGGGTCAAGTACCTTGTCAATCAGGGGGCCAGACACCTGAAGCCCAATGACAAATCCAATACCAAGAGAGACATAGTTTAAACTGGCACGGCCAGGCTCTTGCTTATATTGCTGTTCCCAGACCATAGGGAAGGAAGAAAAACTTGCGATGGGTAAGTCGCTGACAGACGGATGCACGCCAAGAGTTCATACTCACACTAGATACATTAGACCATATAGATACGCCCTGTATAAGGCTGTGATCTGGATGGCTGGCTGGGTAAACAGCATCTTGAATGGCCTTTTCAAGTTGGTCAAAAGTAAAGAAACAAAAGACAGATCTCTCTGTTCAAACTCGGTACGGAGAAGTCCGTTGCCAGTTACCCTACGAAGCCTCTTGGCCTTGACCTTAAGGATCTTAGGCGGGTAAGTCTCTTGCAAGAACAGGAACGCAAGGATCTGGACCACAGCATCAGTTATGGAGACTACCCAGAAGATCCAGCGCCAGCTGAGATGTTGGGTGAGGTATCCAGCAGCTGGAAAGTTGTTAGTTTGAAGTACTTGTCGTTATTCGAGATGCCTTACCTATGGGTCCGACAGCAGGTCCCAAGAATGGGGCAAGACTGTAGATAGCCGTCGCAGTTCCTCGTTCCTCTTTTCTCCAGCAGTCGCTCAGCACACCACCACCAAGCTGCGCCCAAGATTAGTACTTAACAATAAGTGACAGAGGATTGGTAACCATACCGCCTGGGGTGCACTCCCACCAAGACCGCTCAAGAAACGAAAGACAAGCATCTGTTCCTTAGTTTTCGAGAATCCACATACAGTGTTGAAGATCAGATAGAACATGTTAGCAGCCTGAAGAACAACAACTCTTCCAAACATCTCTGACAGGGGAGCGAGCAAGAATGGGCCAAGGGCATAAGCCAAAAGAAAGATGGACATGAGAAGATATGTCTCAAAGTCAGATGAGATCTGAAACTCTTTGGCCAGATCTGCCAAGGCTGGTGCTAACATGGTTGAAGAAACGGGGGAGATGAAGGTGAAACATGAGACGAGAATTGTGCAGAGCCATTTCTTGCGGTTGGTCCAGTTTTGTGGATTAGAGGGATCATTGGGACCATCCCAGGTTACCTGACCATCTGTCAATTGTTGTGGTGGCTAAAAGGTGCAGGGACAGGCAAATAATGATTGAGATAAGGCCAACCTACCAGGTTCGGATCCTCATCTTGAGGCAAAAGAAGGGGTTGTGGGATTGGATGGCGCTCTAAATCTTCAGATGACTTTGCACATCGGTCTGACTGGCTCGCAACATCCGGGTCTTCCGCAAGAGACGCCAGTGGCCTTGGACGACTTGAACAGTTCGAGTCATAGCTTATGTCGTGGTCAAGGTCACGTATCAGCCAAGGGTAATTCTCACGCGACTTCTCATAGTTGACCAAATCTTCGAGCATGGGGCTCCAAGACCTCCAGAGAGAGGATCGAGAGCCAGCTCTTGAGAGTGCTGGAGTGTTGGTTCTACTCATTGCTTACGGGATAATAGCGAATGGGGCAGTGAAAAAAGAAACGAACGTTGTCTGGGGTAGGTGTATAGACCACAAACAGTAGTGATGGAACCAGAGAATGGGTAAGCGAGTGTATTTGATCTGTTGAATGTTTTTCTGGAAGAGCTAAGGTGCCCGAATATATATCTTCATATCTTTCCCAGATCTTCGACCAGGACAAGAGGTTGTGTCTTGGCCATGTTTAGTAACCAAAGCTAAAGTCTACATAGATAATGACACAGCCTGCATAAATCAAAAGAACAAATCGCCAGAACCGCGCCATACCACAGCATCCTGCTGGCCGTAAAAGATACTGGTGACTACACAGCCTGACTGCGTCACTGAGACTACTGCTCCAGACACTACACCGCTAGGCGTCTTTTCAGAATTGCTCGTATCGCTGATTGAGTGATTATAGTGAGTGACACTTGTTTCAGCTGTTGATTGTCTATGGTCGTCATTGGGGTGGCTTAGGAGTTTCGTTTTGACTTAGCTTGGTTGGTTTGCTGCCATCTCATTTGCTCAAGCAGCATCGCCAAGACCTGAAGTTGGAAATGGTATCGCGCATCATTACGCCACGAGATTCGGGATATTTCAAGATGCCGAGTTAATCACCTGTGGCTCCTGGGCATCGGTAAGGCCCTAACTATGAAGTGAAGTTTGCGCACGGGAGCGAAGCGACAGTTTCAGCAATATTGACTTCTCGTTGACTTTAGGGCTCACAAGCTATATCTTCAAAGCATATTGTGCAAACTTATGAACGGAAAATAAGCTTCTGTGAACTCCCTGCCGCCAAAGATGTGCTCCAATGGCTTTTCTATAAATATGCCTCTTATGCATGGCGTGTCTCTCATTGATTGGCAGAAGCATGATTCACGAAACTTAGATAAGGGCCAAGCAATGACGGCTCCAGTAGCACGCAACCTTGATGACGATTAACTCGGCATTGCCCCAGTCAAGCCACGAAACTTCGAATTAAGCTTAAATTTTATCCCTGCACTGTGACATGCCAAACTCATAAGCGAGCTGCCCAGTGATGATCTCCTCAGCCCTGTGATGAATGACGCGTCCCTTATCTCGACTCGCCTGATTGATCTCTGAGGCAAATCACCCTCTCAATGCATTCTATTTATGCCATGTGGCTTGGGTGGTCGCGTGACGCAAGCGCATTCCAGAAATGATGATCTGGGTGATGCTCGTTTCAAGACAGAGTGGCAGACGACCTGTTGCTATTCTGAGGCTTGTCTCTGCTGTGATGCAGGCTAGTGCGTATTTCTTGCCGAGGCGGAGTGGGAAGATGGGACGATTCACTAAATGAGATGCGGTCAATTGGCAACCGAAACATGGCGATAGATAGTGAAGCATTGCTGTATATAACTATGCCATATCCGGGCAGAGGATGAAGCAATTCACAATACTCAATAGCCTCATCTTCACATTCGCTTCAAATACCATTAGCTGAAAAGCTTACATTCGCTACAACAAGCTTATCGTTTTATCTTATCGATCCCTGTCCTTCATAGTCTTTGTGGCTACGTGCTCAAGTCCTTTCACTCGAACAGAATGACAATGGGCTCCACTGTCGCTACACCGAGTATGAGAGTCCTTGTCTGTCCATCTGGCTTCAAGGGCAGCCTTCAGCCCAGTGAGGCTGCAGACTGTATCGAAGCCGGCATCCTCGCTGTTGAACCTAACGCCTCCATCCGCAAGGTTCCATTGGTTGACGGGGGTGAAGGTTTCACCGAGGCCATTGTCACAGCTACAGGCGGTTCAATGCACCGCGTAGACGTGGTTGGACCCGTAGGAGACCAAGTCACGTCATTCTTTGGTCTCCTCGGCCGCAGACAAGATGCGCCAACCACGGCCGTCCTTGAAATGGCTGCTGCTGCCGGCCTGAGCTTAGTGCCGCCCAACAGTCGCAATCCAGGCAAGACAACAACCTTTGGTGTTGGCCAGCTGATCCTTGCTGCCCTTGATGCTGGAGCTACCCGCATTTTGGTTGGATGCGGTGACTCTGGGACGTGTGACGGTGGCGCGGGCATGCTTCAAGCCCTTGGTGCAAGACTGGTTGATGTCCAAGGACGCGTCCTCCCCTTGGCTGGTGGCGGCGAGTCACTCTTAGACCTTGGTTCAATCGACCTGAATGGAGTCGACGCGCGTGTCTTGAAAGCAAAAGTTGACGTCGCTGTGAATTGGCATAACGTGCTTTGCGGACCAGCTGGTGTGGCAAATGTCTTTGGTCCCCAGAAAGGATCAACCCCAGAGCAGGCCGCTCGCCTTAGTCTCGCCATGGAAAAATTGGCAAATGTTGCTACTGACATTCTTTGCGACAAAACCGTCCAAAGTGCTCCGGGAGGCGGTGCCTCAGGTGGTCTTGGAACGGGCTTGCGCTTGGTAGGAGCTACACTCAGACCCAGATACGAGGTCATCATGCAGTACATCAACTTGCACAGTATCTTTGACGACTGCGACCTTGTACTTACTGCAGAGGGAGGCATCGACGATCAGACTCCAAGGGGAAAGATCCCCGCAGAAGTGGCCAGACTAGCAAAGAAACATGGACTTCCTGTGATTGCCATCGCTGGTACCATTGGCCAGGGCGCCAGAGTGAACTATGATATCGGGATTGATGCTTTTACATGCATTATTCAACGCCCAATGAGTCTCGACGATGCGGTTCTGGAAGCGGAGAAATTAACCCGGGAGAGTGCTGAGACTGTTATGAGAATTGTTATGGTTGGGCGGATGATAGGCAGGTCCACTTGACGAGACATGTGTTATCTACTTCTGTTTATGATTTGGCTTCATTATACTGAATTCTTGAGCGACTCCGCAACGGAACTCTATTGCTCAAACTCTCTACCTGTCCATGTGATATGCATGTTGCTTATACTAGTAGCCATTACCTCGATCTCAAACCCTGTAGGAGAACGTGGAAGAGAATTTGCATGAAACGTAGTAATTGGTTAACTACTACGGTAGAATGCTTCTATTCGTAACTGAGATCTGTGGCTTAACCCTAGAGCCTAGACTCAACCAAGAGAAGTTAGCCCTTTCAGTCCAGGAAGTTGTTATAAGAGGGTGTGTTTACAGGAGGTACAGCAGAGCTGATGTATATAATACTTAGAACGCTAGAGATAAGCTGAGGTTCTTATGAAAATGTAATAAAAGTCTAAGAGGAGAACTTTAAATTCTCAGATATAGAAAAGCATAAATAACTGCGTCCCCCCTGATTATCCGTTCTCTTTCCTTTTCCTCACTAACAAACTCTACAACTTTCCCTTGAAAAAACACCAACACACAACTATCTCACTCATCTTTTACGATACCATCATCTGTCAACATGTGCTGCGGCGGCTTCAGCAGGGGCGGAGGTGGCGGAGGTGGCGGCGGCCGGGAATCTCCCTCCGTCAATAGTCTCGCTGCTGCCCGAGCTTCAGGTTCTACTCAGGGGTGGCACAAGAAACCATCCCGGCGCAAAAGCCAAAGGCTCAAAAGCATCAAGGTGGAAGCAAAGACAAGTGAGTTCAAACAGGCTCGTGACAAAGGTTTCGATCAAAGTTTCTTTGGAGCGTCAAACGGCGTCCGGAAGGGAAAGTCCAAGCAAAGAGCCAGCCGGGGCAGTGACACGAGCAGGCATGCCATGAATGGCTCAACCAGTTCCTGGTGATAGGTTAGTGCGAGGACTTTCAGAATGAGCTTTGAGTTGAGTATACTGGCTGACACCTTTAGTCTAGATTCAACGTTGCCTCACCTCACGGCGAAAACACCGGCACATTTCTTGTCTGGGGCCTGAGCCATTGCTAGGACTTTACGGCTTGGTATACGGGATGAAGTGATGGAAATCTGATCTTCGACTGTGGAGGGGATAATTAGTTCGGAGAGGGCTACTTTCTTTGTTTTTCTTGGTGTTATTTGCCTTTGTGCCCTAGGTGCTGAGATCTATTTTAACCTCTCAAACCTATCACAGTGTTTGACAACGATTGCTTGAATGCTGAATCTGGAGTGGGAATTTACAGTTTTGAAGATGGAGTGTTTGCGTTTCTCCTTAGTTCAGGACACGAAAGGCAGAGATATAATTAAATCTCTTATCTTTAATACAATTCTGTAAGGATATATTATTTATGCCATATGTTTTGTGGACCAGCTTTCCTACTTGACACATAAACCTTGTCCTCGTTAGGAAACACAACGAGAGCGTCTGGAGCCTGAATCACAGTGGCTTCCACCTGCAGCGGCTTTACAAGCATGCCTGACCTCCACTCGAGAGAAACAAGCCAACCTCCAATGGCCCTGACATGAGTCAACTTCCCATCAGCCCAAGACGACGGTAAGCTCGGAAGCAGATGTATCACGACGACCTGTCTTGACGGCTCAGACCTTAGCGTAGATTGGACCAGGCATTCCAAGATCCCAGCACATCCCCCAAAGTTTCCGTCAATCTGGAATGGAGGATGATTATCTAACATGTTTGGCAATGTTGATGTTTTCAACAACAGATCCATATGGTTTTCACAACCTTCTGAGTCTCGGAGACGAGCGTGGAGGTTCAGTAGCCATGCCCTGCTCCAGCCTGTATGACCTCCTCCGTGCTCTGCTCTCCTTGCAAGAACCCTCTTCGCGGCCTTGATCAGGAGCGGCGACGAGTCCATGCTGATAGAGTCGTCGGGGTATAGTCCAAAGAGATGCGACACATGTCGGTGTCCTGGCTCAGCTTCTTTGTGGTTCTTCAGCCCCCATTCTTGTATGAGTCCATCTTTGTTCAGCGATATGGGCGGTAGTTTATCGAGGACTGCGACGACATCGTTTCTCCGGGGATGATCTGGGTCAAGGATACTGGTGCTCCAAAGAAAACTCTGAAACGCAATGCGTACAATTGTCATATCAATCACAGACCCTTCACAGAAGATTCCTGTCTCTCCTGACTGAGACACAAAGCTGTTTTCTGGGGACAAAGATGGATTGGTTACCAAGTATCTGCCGCAAGCAGATGGTATTAGAAAGTCAAGAAGGAACTGGACGCAGCCCTCGAGGATTGGAGCGATGCGACAGTGTAGCGTGGGCTCGTACTGATATATGAGCATCCTGACAACATCAGTACACAGCCAAGCTCCTCCGAGTGGCCAGATAGTAGCAGGCATCCACCGATCCTGAGGGTCTGTATCAGCCCATATGTCAGTGTTGTGATGGGCGCACCATCCCTTGCAGTTGTACATCATCTTGGCTGTTCTCTTGCCTCTTTCCGCCATGCGTTCGAGCAGGCTGATGAGTGGTATAGCACACTGGATGAGACTGCATGGGATGGCTGGCCAGTAGTTCATTTGGAGGTTGATGTTGATGGTGAATTTAGATCCCCACGGCGGTGAAAACGATGGGTTCCATATTCCTTGTAATGTTGCCGGCAGAGCTTTTTCGGAGTTTCGACTTGACGAAATAAGCAGATACCGTCCATAGTTGTGATAAAGTGCCACCAGACCCGGGTCTCTGTTGCTGACGATTCTCTTGTTTGTTGGCAGATGGTTCGCGTCAGGGAATAACCGAAGGGACATGCGGCCAAAAAGGTTGGTGTAGTCGCACCGATGGCGGCGTACGAGAGTTTCCCAAGGCCTCCGAAGAGCATCATCAACATTCAGAAGAGCCGATCTTTCGGGGTCCTCTTTTCTGAACGTGGTATGCGCCCCGATGGCAATAACACATTTTGTCGCATCAACAATCAGGCAATTTCCAACCGCCTTGACAGTCCCATCGCTAGGTTCGCAGGAAACTCCAAGGGCGAGAGATAAGCGATTGCTGTTTGCGCCACCAGGTGTTGCGTTGAGAATAATCCGTGAGTCTTGCGCGAAGATGCCGTCTAGGTACTCGTTTGTCTCTCCCTCATTCTCGCTCTGTCGGTTCAAACGTAAAATGAAACGGCTCTTTTCGGATGCTTGGACTTGGATGGCAAGTACACTGTCAGGAAAGCTGGCAAGTATATCGCGACGATAAGATATACCGTTGCATTTATAACTGGTTGTGGCTTGAGAAGTGCTCAAGTCGAGACATCGTGTGTAATCGGTCACCTTACTCTCTTCGTGATCAAACTCAATCTTGCAGTGGCCCAATGGCTCATAGTGTCTCATGCTCGATGGCGTAGCAAAGAAGGCCTCTTTAACAAGATCTTCTGCCTCTTTGTGCTTCTCATCTCTGATCAGTTGCCTCAGAGCAGCTAGGTTCTGGTGCGCATCGCGTGGTGTTCTGTCCTGCGGGCCGCCATACCAAACAGAGTCCTCATTGAGTTGCAGCAGCTCGGTCGACGTTCGCCCGTATACCATAGCTCCCAGCCGCCCGTTACCAATAGGAAGAGCCTCAGACCACGAAGATGCGGGGGCGGCATAATGCAAGAGCATGCCTTTGTCTGTGTCACTTGACTCGCATTCGTCCATTGTGGATGATGGCTGGATATGCGCGCCGTTTTGCCGCGACGAATTCATGGCGCTTGATGGTAGAAAAGGCGCATGGGATGATGATGCTGGGGCTAGACTAATTGATGAGGGGAAGTTTGGTGAATCTCTTCTGTTTCTTGTTTGCCGAGCATGGCCGATTGATGATGGATTAGACCCGAAGAGGATGGTCAACCCCACAAACCCACGCGGACGGATCAACGGCCCATGGGGTAACGACAGACTCAGCGTTGCTATTGGAGGGATTATTATTTAAGTTGACAATTGTACCCACATGCCCCAGCGTCGAGAGTGGTTTAAAAAATGGAGGCAATTTAGCCGCTATCACATCACGTACATGCAGCATTAGGCCGTGATCAGAACCCACCAAAGAGAGGAAAGATAGTCCAGTGGTGGTGTGATCCCGAGTTTTTAGGATGCGGTCTACGCTATACCGCTTTGTCTACGGTTCTCGTGCCACACTCGACTCGGAATAAATGGACTAACTACCTAGATCGAAACAATCACGGCACAGCAGGCATTCAGTGGGCGTCATATAAAGATGATCTGAGGTCTAGCGATAGCATGTATGGGTTAATAGTATTGTGCTTCTGACTTCGTAAGAGCACCACGATCTACAGAATATAAATATGCCTATCCAGGCACGAAGAGCCTCTTTCGAGCGCCAGAACATCTACCAAGATGTCCAAGCTGATGCAAACAAATCAGGCGTTGCTGTCGAAGAGGTCGTCGCAGCACGAATCACCGAGGACCATCTGATCACCAAGTCTAGGGAAGCTCTATCCCTCAAGTCCAGAGCTGGCTTTCGCATCTTTCTCATCATGGTGACCATGGGATTTAACCAAGCTGCGTAAGGCTGCTGACTCATTAAACCTTTGACGAAGTTGTGTTGACAGTTGTGTAGATACGGTATCGACTGGGGCGTCATCAGCAGTATCAACTCCAACACCTATTGGCATGATTACTTTGGTTTCGAAAACAGCGGCTCGACACTTGGTGTCATCAACGCTCTCATGACCATTGGCAACTTTTGTGGCGCTCCATTCCTCAGTGTTGCTGATAAGATTGGCCGTCGCAGCGTCAACTTTCTCGGTTGCTTTCTCACCATCGTTGCTTCGCTCATTCAATGCTTCGCTCCGAATGTCAAGGTCTTTATGTTTGGCCGCTTTGTCCTTGGCTTTGGTACCGCGCTCTGCACGAGCTCGCAGTACATCGCAGAAGTTGCGCCTCCTCATATCCGTGGACAGTGAGTCTCTCCGATTTCAGTCTGAACTGCCAAATAACACGTTGAACAGCATCGTTGGAATCTTTGGTGCCTTCTTCCAGGTCGGCTCTCTTGCCATCGTCGTTATCATGATGGGATTTACTCACTGGGAAAGCAACTGGAGCTGGAGAGTAGCGTTTCTTATCCAAGCCATCTTCCCTTTCTTTGTGTGCGTCGCTAACTACTGGTGCTGCCCCGAATCACCGCGATACATGATCATGAAAGGCCAAAGAGAGAAGGCTCGCACCGTGATCTCCAAGTACTTTACGTCCTCCGAAGACCCTAATCACCCATTCGTGGAGACCCTGATAGCTCAGATTGATGAGTCCATCGAGACTTCGGCGGTTGGATTCCGTGCCGTATGGGACTTTAGAGTCTTCTTCACAAAGGCTGTCGGCTTTCGAACGTTTGTCCTTCTCCTCTACTCGATCTTCCAGCAATGGAATGGTAAGCCTTGAACGCCGACTCATATTGTACTCTCTGACTCGCCATAGGTGGTGGCATCATTGGTCTCTACATGGACCCAGCGCTCCAAACTATTGGAATCACCAAGAAGCTTGATGTCTTGGGCATTACACTAGGTCTCACTGCCACCTACTTTGTGTTCACTCTCTTTGGTGCATTCATTATCGAATATTTCCGCCGACGAACTCTGATTTTTGTTGGCTTGATATGCATCATAATTGCACAGACCGCTGTCACCATTATAAGTTGGCGGGTTAACGTGCAAGGAGACAGATACCTGTCCTATCTTACAGTGGTCTGGATCTACTGTTTCCAGGTCTGCAGTGCATCTTTTATAGCGACGATGCACAACTTGTACCCGGTAGAACTATTGTCTCTGCCTTTGAGAGCAAAGGGAATGGCACTATACACGATGTTCCAGGTTCGTTCTCACAATTGATCTTGAATCAAACACTAACAGTCACAGGGTGCTGCCGGCGTAGTCCACAATTACGGCATCTCAGTGGGTATCTCCAAGGTCGGATACAAGATTTGGGCCGTCTACATCGCCTACAACCTCATCCAGCTCATCGTGGCTTACTTTATCTTCCCCGAGACCGGAAAACTCAATCTGGAAGAGATTGACCACATTTTTGAAACCAAGAATACTAACCCCACCAAGCTGAGTGTCAAGATTGCAGACGCCAAATGGGCTTCTATCGAGGAGGAAAAGGGGCGGGCACGTAACAATTCCCCGGTGGCTTGACAAAGGTCGTGTGAGACGAATGATTGTATGCATTCAGTCAGAATAATCGCGCAACTTAAACATTTTTCTTGTCATATGGCAACAGTCAACGATTTGTGCCCCAAATGCTCTCCGAGTAACAGTCTATTAATACGCGTATACGCACCTCGAACGACTCATCACGCGAAGGCAGATCAAGTCTAGTAGCATGCGTTTCGAATGTTCTCCTTCCGTTTCCAGCTGTAGTCCCCTGTATGCAGAGATAGTGGACGATCTGCGCGGTGGATAAATGGGTAGACGGGCCGGTAAACACACACTACCTTGCCCTTGCACGCGGCTGAAGACATAATGTCTTTTCCCGCAACGGATGCTCTTGTAGATCTCTCCCATAATCCGAACTGGCATCAGTTCCGTGACTTGGATCAAGCTCCTCCTTCAGCAAGTGGCTCGTTGTAGATTTTCAACGTGCGTGAGACAATCATTTTGATTCGTGGGTAAATCACCTTTGCCTCAATTATGCAGCTTCCCAATAAATCAAGTTAATCATTCATCAGATAAAGGGTCTTTATTTTTAAATAGTGTCCACCCATTGCAGATGACTATTACTTGCCACTTTGCGAGTAGGTGCTGAGCGTTGACCTGTGTCAACACAGCGCTTTACCTTAACTTGCCTATCTTCCTTTTCTTTAGCAGTGACAACATCAGCGGAAATGAGTGCTGAGCAATTTGACGAGTCCATTAGAGGTGCCTTGCCTCGTGACTTCGCTTGGGGTTTTGCCACAGCGGCAGCCCAAGTTGAAGGTTCGTGGAACAAGGACGGCAAAGGCGTTTCGATATGGGATACCTTTGCTCATACTCCAGGCAAGGTCAAAGATGGCAGTACTGGTGACGATGCTGTCAAGTCTTATGATCTTTACCAGACTGATATTGAGTGGCTTCGCAAGTACAATGTCACAGGTTATCGGTTCTCACTTTCATGGTCTCGAATCATCCCTATGGGCGGGAAGGATGACCCCGTCAATGAGGAGGGTATATCATACTACAATCGCTTAATCGATGAGCTTCTCGCCAACAAAATCACACCATTCGTCACTCTCTTTCATTGGGACATCCCTCAGACGTTGGAAGATCGTTATGGGGGAATGCTAGACAAGGATGCATACACTCCCGACTTTATTAGGTATGCGCGGGTATGTTTTGAGCGGTTCGGGGACCGCGTCAAACACTGGATCACATATAATGAGCCTGGCGTCTATTCTCTCGCTGGTTATGCCGCTGGGGTACATGCTCCTGGTCGATCCAGTTTCCGTGACCGTAATGAAGAGGGAGACAGCAGCACAGAACCCTTCATCGTCAGTCACACGGAACTCGTGTCGCATGCATACGTTGCCGATATGTATAAGCGCGATTTTAAACCCAAGCAAAATGGAAGTATCATGATCACGCTTCATGGCAATTGGTCTGAGCCATGGGACGTCGATGACCCGCTAGACCAAGAAGCGGCGGAACGAGCTAGGGAGTTCGAGATCGCCTGGTTCGGCGACCCTTTGTACAAGACAGGGGATTACCCGGAGTCTATGCGTGCACAGCTGGGTGACCGTCTCCCAAGATTCACACCGGAAGAAAGCAAGCTTGTACTGGGAAGCTCAGAGTTCTATGGCATGAACTCGTACTCAGCCTTTTACGTCCGTCATCGCGACGGGCCTGCTGATATTAATGATCATCTAGGCAACGTCGAGAAGCTTGCTGAGAATAAGAAAGGTGAATGGCGGGGTCCCATGAGCGACACCTACTGGCTGCGAACCGCGCCCTGGGGCTGGGCCAAGCTGCTGCGCTGGATCTGGAACCGCTATGGCATACCAATCTACATAACCGAGAATGGGACCACGGCACAGGGAGAGCATGAATGGAAGCCTGATGGCCCTGATGATGTTTTGGAAGATCTCTTTAGGGTTGACTTTTACAAGAGCTACCTCACAGAAGTCGCCAAAGCATCACAGGAAGGTGTTGTGATTAAATCATATTTTGGGTGGACCTTTACAGATAACTGGGAATGGGCCGCTGGTTTCTCGGACCGGTTTGGGGCAATATGGATCGATTTTGAGTCTGAAGATAAGACGAGGTATGCTAAGAGGTCTGGGTACTTCCTTGGGGCGTTTTTCAATCATCTCGTTAGTAAAGATTGAAAAATAATTATTTGGAGGTTGTAACCTAATCGCAGCAGGTGACCTGATCTCAAGTCAGATCCGCGAGTTGTTCTTCCTGACTGTATGCTAATTAGGTCTGGAAGCAATGTCTCCATTCCCTGTGGCTGGAATGTGGGGTCTATAGCGAAGAGTAAATATCTCCCTTGCAAGCCTTCAGCCAGCCACTTATACGCCAACACTTACTGACATTCTTACAACTAGACAACAAAGTCTTTTGTTAATATAAGCTTCAAGCAGAAAGTCTTATCTTATAAATTAAAGCATGCACACAAACAGTAAAATCTGGAGATATACTAATTTTTATAATAGCATTGGAGAGAATTAGTTTCTAGTCATACTGGCTGAGTCTCAAGACATACCACATAGTAAACACATATCAACGCCATTCTACTTCGGCGCAAGCAGACAAGGCCATGCCTAAAGCATACTTCGACCTACAGACTTACTTAATTTCGGTGAAACCGACCGGGCTTGATGGCCGGGCCTTTTAGGAGCTGAAAAGAACCATATAAAGATTACTTAGGGAATGTTACTAACAGATTTAGTTATAATCCCGTGCCTCGCTCTGCAGCTAGTCCCGTTACCTACTGCACAAGGATTAGACTAAAAGCCTTACTGTCCAGTAATGCGACAACAATATCGACAATGGAAAGGGCTAGACGCTCGGTTGCAATAACATCAAGGTCTAGACTCTTGGTGCTATAAGCCTGGTTTAGTAGTAAAAGGTAAATTAAAATATAAAATGCTTTTCATCTCTTTAAGTTAACACCATGCTCCTACTTAAGATAAATTTTATATTTTGTTTATTTCATACGTAGCCTTTTAAAATGGATTTACTAAAGAGAGTTTTAATACTCTTCTTGATTACTTCAGTATGCGCCATTCCTGCCATTGGCACACCTAGAGGAAGAGACATTCTGGAGCCAAGAGCAGGTATATAAGCACAGTCAGATTGAAGGAACTTGACTAATGTTCCTTTTTTACCATAGGCCTATTTTGCCAAGCTTCAGATCCAGACAATAAAGCTTTCAAGAATAATGCAGTTGCTGGATCTGCATTCTGCTCAACCTACATTCGACAAACTACAACTACCACTATAACTCCTACTTCAACTATTACTTCCACTCAGACCGCACTAGCAACAACTACGGCAACTGTATTCACTACCGTTTTGACTACATCCTCTATTAGCACCTTTACTACCTCAACAAAAAGAGGGTCAACTTTAATCACACTGACTAAAACTGCCCTTGTCACGGATACGATAACTGAGACATTTACAGCCCAGGCAACAAAGCGAGTTACTAACACAGTAATAAAAACAACGCCCATTACAGTTACATCTCACAGCAGCAAGACCGTCACTATAGCAGCTACAACGACTGCTACAATTAATATTAATACTACAGTTACAAAGCTTGTAACTAATGCTCTTACCAGTTTTGTTACTGGCAAAACTACCCTTTGGGTGACGTAAGTACATACGATACACACTGATGTTTTAAGCTAATAATTACTTATTTAGCACTACGTAAGTTTAAGCTGCGATAAATCTACGGAAGGGTGTAATTAACCATAAGTAGAGCATCTGCTCCAGTAGTGACCTCGGACCCAAGTATGTTTTTTCATTAATGGTGACTTATCTCATGACTTACCGGAATTTAGCCACAATTTACTGCAAAATTCGAGGTTATGCCAAATCCTCCGAATATATTCTGTTCCAAAAAAATCCCTTTCCCAACGTTGGCTTCTCTACCTGCAAGAGCTATTGCTTAGACCAACAGGACGACATTCCAGTTTACGGTTTTGGCTTTACTTCTACTGGTTGTTACTGCTATAACGAGCCAGTGTAAGTCGCTCTCTTTTGACCTTGTCTCTAATTGTTGGATTTATAACTAAACAATTTTAGATCTGATGCAATTGAGCCGAACAAGGAACTGGTGGCTATAAATTATGATATGTCCTGTGATTTTGCAGACCAGGTTAGTTAAAACTTTATATACGGAGACAGCCACCAGACGTTAACGTTTCTCGAGGATGGCTCCCAGCCTGTCAAGCGGGAATTACAGGAGCGTGCTGCCAAGACTACACCAGTGCCAAGCTTCTTGCCCAACAAAACGCCCAGTGTCGTCAGCAGTGCTTGTTCTTGCTTAATCACCAAACCTGCTGCTCGTCAGACCTTCAGCGTTTTTGCCGACCCTACGACTATCCAAGCTACAATGACAACTACCAAGGTAGTAACGATCAACAAGAAGAAGACTACTCTTTCTACTACACGCCAGACTGTTACCTCAACAGTTTTGACCACTTTGATAGCGACAGGAACTCAAAGTGTAACCAGAACTCAGCATACAACCAGTACTATTACCAAGCCGGTTACTGTCTTTATCACAAACTTTAACACAGTTACTGTGATACAGACTGTTACATCTTCTACGGTGAAGACTGATACTATCCCTGTTACCAAGGTTAATACTGTCCCATGGACTCGCCTTAGCACTATTCTTGTTACCAAGGGAGTCACCACTACGGTCGTGCGAACTGCCCCGACTCCGCAAATCGTCACGTCTACTGTTACGCAAGAAGGATCTATCAGTACTTATGTCCCCGAAATTACAATTTGGGGTACTGATGAGCCCGATTCCACGACCGAAGATGCCACAACTACACGTGCAATTATTCCTCCTCCAAATTCATCTTTTAGCGCGTCTGTGCAAACACCTGTCACACCGTCAAGGTCGGGTACGTCTATGATCGCAGCTGCGACCACTCCAGGTTCGAGTGCTTCGACGACTACTCCTGGCTGGCAGCTTCTGGACAACAACGCTGCGGCTATCAGCATTGTTGCTGACGGCTCTGATCTCTACGAGCTCCATAGCTCTGGTTTCATCTGGCTCTACACAGGTACCCCTATTACCGGTTGGCGACTATTAGGCAACAAGGCTTCAACTACCAAGATTGCTGCCTCAAAGGGTAATCTCTACCAACTTCGCAATACTGGTGAGATTTTCAGGTATACCGGTACTCCAGTCACGGGTTGGCAGTTGGTCGACAACAACGCTGCCGCTCTTGATATCCTAGCCAGCGGCAACGACCTATACCAACTGCACGAATCAGGATTCATCTATAAATACACGGGCACTCCTATAACCGGATGGCAACAGTTGGGCAATAGCAAGAATACCATGAGAATTGCCGCTTCCGGGGGAAACCTCTACCGACTCGACAATGACGGCACTATCTGGAAGTATAATGGAGTACCTCTCACTGGATGGGATAAGTTAAGAGCCTCAAACTCAGGGATCAAGGACATTGTAGCACGCAATGCTGATCTCTATGAGCTTGACAATAATGGAAATATCTGGCAGTATACTGGCGTTCCGATCACCGGCTGGAGGCAACTAGATAACAACTTTCGGACGACGCAGATTACTGCCGGAGCTGGAGGGTTTTATCAGCTTCATAACTGGGGGGCTATTTGGCAATATACCGGCACGCCTTTCACTGGCTGGAAGCTACTAGATGCAAACGCTACCTCCACCTACATTACCGCAGGGGACTCACTCTACCAGCTTCGAACCACTGGTTTTATCTTCAAGTATAACGAATAGGTTCAACAATCGTGGGTTCAATGGTCAAGCTGGTATTCGGTATCGAAAGTCGGGGTTCAGGTTGGTGTTCATTATCGATCAACAAAACACAACCCAAAGCGTCAAAAGGGGAGAGGGGGGTCAGTGGAGAAACTCTCGCTCAAAGGAACCAGATTGATAGAGGAGGGACTAAGGGAGGCTGCATGGTATAAGGGCATGCTACAGGCGGCCAACACAGGGAAATCAGTTCTCATTCATTTGTAACTAGACTGCTCGTTCAGCCATTCGTTAAATCACTTGTTGTGAATCTCCTCAAACCTAACATATACGCTCAAAATATTAATTGCCAATCTGAATTGAAGGGTACCCATTCAGCGGTAACATGTTGAATCTGCAACCATTCTCGATATACATCTGCAGGGTAGGTAAAGTGGTGACGGGCACCGAGTGTAAGGAACGATGGCGCTACGCCACTGTATTTTAGCATCAATTATCAGCCGTGCATCCGATTACGCTGGCCTCTACGAGCTGCATCTAGTTAGACCATGCCAAACCAATAACACGTCGTCAGCGTAACAGATTTGTTTGACTGCTCAGAAATATCATGCCGTTATAGATCTACCCAAAAACAAGAGACTGTATATTGTAATTTCATTCCATTGCTAGGTCGAGCTATAACTCGTGCAAAGTTCAGTTCCTTCATGTCCTTTCCAATGCTTCAACATTATGTTCGGTGTCGAACGCCACTCAATTTCATTAGTGAACAAGGCTTGCGCTTGGAATGCGTTTGCATTTGGCATCAAGTGTTTTGAACACAATGACGCACGCGACGAAGGTTTTGACGCGTAAATAGGATGTTATTTCCGGGTCAGCTCTCGGGCCCCATCTTACTTTAGTCCACCTTCTAGAATCACGATAATGACTGACGTCTAAACGCGACTGGCTTCAGCGAAAAAGCAGAATGCTCATATCAGTCGGGATAGTGTGTTCATTGTCCCTATCCCTTTTATGGCCGAGCACCTTACACTGACATCGTGACAGGCTATACAAGGAGTGTTGTTGGGATTGTCACTCTGTACAGTTGTCCTTCGATGCTGGACTAGACTTTACTATGAGAGAAAGACGCTCTCTCTTTCTGAGTACTTTGCATGCGTGGGCTGGATCTTCGCTTTGGGATGGTTTATAACTTCGACACTCTCTATGCTCATTCTGGTTCATCATCCCCCGGATGGAGATGGTCTTATCCCTAGTGTTGACTACCAGAAGGTAAGTGACTTTGAAACCTCTGGACGATACAAGCTCATTCGTCCTCGATTCCAGATAGTCTGGGTAGCCGAATACTTCTTCGATACAGGAATCTACTGGCCCAAACTCTCCATCCTCGCCTTCTATTGGTATCTTATACCGGATGTATTCCACTCCTTGAGAGTAACACTATACATAATCACGGCATACCTGATTTCTTGCATGACAATCTCAATCCTAATCAACACTCTGATAGCGAGGCCGATCTCAGATAATTGGTAAGATTGCCACAATCCAATCAATTGTATTAAAACTTGGGGTTAACTCCTCCAGGTCAGTTGAGAACCAGCTCAACTCCGCCTGGAACTCCCTGCCCAACTTTCTGACTCAGTGGTGCTTGAACTTTTCGACAGATCTAATATGCAAGTTGATCCCTGGGGCTAAAAACTGTCACAAGAGATGAGAGTATACTGACAAAGGCCCAGTGTTCTGTTTCCCCTTCTTCATTCTCAAACATCTGACTTTGCGCACTGAGCAGAAACTTGCCCTTGTCGGTGTCTTTTCCCTTGGTGCAATCACGATGTCAGCTAGTCTTGCCCGCTTCATCATCAGCAATACAGCAGATTATCAGCTTGATTATCCATCTGGCAGTAGGTACACAGTTCAAGGTTTTTGATAGATACTAACTGCGTTAAATACGTCCTCTGCATGGCCGAAATGGCGACTGCAGTTATCGTTGTCTGCCTCCCTGGCCTCAAGAAATTAATCATGCGATCGAGAACACCAACCAACACGACGAGTCAAGGGTTTAACTCGAACCAGTCAAGCTCAGGCCACTCTTCCAACATGACGGCGTCGAAATCGAGAACTGCATCACAGGCATACGCGGAATGGGGTGTCATGGACGATGAGATTGAGCTGCCTGCTCATCCCCATGAATCCCATTTACCCGGAGAGCTAAAGGATGTGGGGAAACTACTGTAGCATTTTCTGCAATCTGAGGTAATCGCTACAAGCGATAACATTATATATTAAGAAGGACCTTTGCTATCAATCTGATGCATCGTAGAAGAGACATTCAAGTACGCCCATTTCGTCCCACCCTTTTCCTCATGGTGCTTTGGAATACAGAACCTGACCATTTTTCTTGAATCCTGCGATTACGTTCTGTCCCTTGTCGCTAACAAGCCATTTGATAAACTCAGCTGCTTCTTTACCATTGGGTGCCTTTTCACTAATCAATGCATGGGCGGGATTCAACAATGGGTCATCCGCCTCATCGGTGCCCGCTTTGTAAACAACAGTCTGATTCCTGAGGTCTGCATCAAGGGACAGGATGGTACCACGGTCGGTAATCGTGTACTCTTGGAGGATAATCGCAGCCGTAAGAGCCTGGATCGGGAACGCGATGTATTGATGATACCATGTTGAGTAGGCAGTCGCCCAAGGAACCTGTCCTATCCCGGCCCATAGCAGGGTCTCTTTGATGTTGGTAGCAGACTTGTCATAGCGGCTCAGGAACCGAACAGGAGGCTCAGTAGCAGGGCCTTCGGCAGCTTCGTGAAGATTCGCAAACGTGGACATTATGTCATCACTTTTGGAGATATTTGCGGGATTCTCTTTGGGCCCGACGAGAAGGAAGTGATCGCGGAAAGCGTAGTAACTTGGACTTTTGGCGATGCCTTGTTTGATGGCAATCTCTTCCGCAGCTGGGTTGTACGTGATGCCAATGTCAGTCTCGCCCGTCTTGAGATACTGAATACTATAGGTGGTATCGCTCTTGATCCACCCCACCTGGAATGGTTTCTCGCCGTCTCCAACGCGGGTTTTAATGTATGCATTTGCAAGCTCTGGTCATCTCCGTTAGCATGGCCCTGCTTATTCCCATGAGGATTTTACCTTTGATCAACCCGCTTTGGCCTGCACCTCCGTTGGCAATTAGTAGCTTGATGGAGTCATTTTTCTTGTGATCAAAGCCACCTCCATAAATCGCGTCGGGAGTTACTGCTAAACAGCTACTGACGAGAAGAGAGATGGCAAGTAAATAGGATTTCATGGTGGATTCTTGATGAAGATTACTGAAGGAGTAAGAAGGAGTAAGAAGGATAAAGAAGTAGATTCAGAAATCGAAGAAAATTATAGGGGAAAGATTACAGTTATACCATTAGCAGGACTGGTAACTAGTAACGCCATGTAGGCCTGTTAAGATTGTGATGTCTCGCTTCGGCTGAGTTAAGATTGTGATGTCTCGCTTCGGCTGAGAATGTTGATTTGGTTGCCGTGCTACTACTAGTACTGTAGAAACGGGAAAGACATAGACAAATGCTTGGTGAAAATAATGCTTGAATATTCCTGTTGAGAGCCTGGTAATTGATTGACGCGGCTGGAGTTAGGTTGACTAAAATCACAATCGATTGCCCATGAACAACAATTTATTAACTCTCGGCAATAGGAGTTACGCGAAAATGAGGTTTACCTTTCAGACCGCTTATCCACTATTATTCCTATTTAACCGCTGCCAATCCATGGTTATAAATTTTTTAGTATTACTATTTCAATTACTAGCTAAACTTAATACATATACCCCTTTTTATATAGTTATATCTTATATATTTTTTTAAATTAAATATTACTTAAATAAATTAAATACGCTTTAAGTAAATAATTTTAATTCTACTATAGTATAAATAAAGTAAAAATAGTAAAAGAAGTTAGTAATTACTATAGTAATACTAAAAAATTTACAACTATGTGCCAATCTATGGGAATGCGTGTAGGAATGTTAGCAAGAGATAGAAAATAGGTCTAGTTAAATTCTTGGGTATGTACGTCTCTTGTACGAGTTGCATATACAATTATTCCCCACTTATCTTCCACGTGCGTTATTTAATTCCTTAATTCCATACCAACATCCCATTTCTTAAAGACACCGACTCTGACCGGCAGCAATTTGCAGTCAACGGCAGAAATGATACCTCTGACAGTCACAATTCCTCCCTCTTTTCACAGTTTCCCCGATTTACCATTAGAATTACGACTGAGAATCTGGCGCTACTCTTTTCTTCCCCGCTGCGTTGAACTCCATGCCCGCAGATCACATTACGCCGATAACTTCCAACACGGAGGTGTACCAAAATGGCAAAGTCGATGCTACAATCCCGCTGCACTGTCAGTGAATCTTGAGGCGAGATCGGTCGCAATGGACTATTATCGCGTTAAACTTCCCCTTGCAACGGTTGCGCCATATGAGCATGCTGGCGATGACGTAAACGACCCAAATCACGTCTTGTACATTAACCCTGCCGTCGACACCGTTGTTGTACTGGGTGACCTAGACTACAGCAGAATCTCACGACTGCTGACTGGCTTGCGAGTCGGTGATTTGGAGGGAAAGGGTCTGCAAAGTTTTGCTGTTAGTGCCAGCTGGACGTATCATCAAGGAGCTGGTGACACAATCAGAATGTTAGTCAAACACATGTTTCCCGAACTAGAACAGATGATCGTGTTTATGTATGATGAAAAAATGCCTCCTGCGGACTGGGCTGGTGGAACGTGTGAGCTGCGAGATTGCAGCCATACAGACTACTATAAACGGTATGCAATGGGAAGAGGCCAGCAAATGAGGGATGGTGATTGGGAGAAAAGAGTTACAGGTGATGGAACTGTGTTTTAGGCATGGATGGTAGGTGATGCTGATTCATTGACAGTTAAAGCTCAAGACATCTCAATGAGATGTATCAAGCTAATCACCCGAAGAAAAACAAACTTCAGCTTTTGGAAGGCATGTAGCCCAGTGCAGACAAATCTCCTAACTGAACAGAGAATAAAAGACAGAGACAATTGTCATTCTTATGTGCTGGTAACCTTTTGCCAAATGACACACTGCTGAAGTGACCCAGTCAGAGCCTCAATATTCTCCTCTTTCGTTCCATTGACGTCAATCTGCAGCCATTAGTTCATGTCCCTCATTCAGGTACAGTCGAGGACCTACGAATACCAAGATACCACGGTTGCGATACTCTTCCTCGACTGGGACTGTCTCGAGCTCATACTCCTTGAAGCGCTTCTCAAACTTGTCTGCGCTGTCGTTGGTGTCTCTGGCCCGACCCAAATATCTGGCTCTGGCGTTTTCCTTGGTGATCTGGAACGAGAGTACGAGATCTGGCTTGATATCGAGGCTGACCCTGCCATCATCCCCTGGAGCGAGAGGCATCATGTCCTGGAAAGGCCATGTTCCGAAGGAGTCCAATTGTTCAATGCATCGCGGATACCCGTCGATCAAGATACCTTTCACTTCGGACTCATTGCGGTTAATGGCGTCGAGAACTTCGCGGTAAATGAAGGGGTTGAGATCCTCAGAGGTCAGGAAACCTTGATTGTCGAGCTTGCTCTGAATCTTTGCAGCGAGTTCTGTGGAGCGATTGACGCGCATCCAAGCACGCAGGCCATCACCAACAGAGTAGTGCACGAGGTTGTGTTTCTGCGCGAGATATGCCGACAGCGTTCCTTTCCCCGCACCGGGAGCCCCTAGAGCCTGGTTAGAAGTGGTGGCGGGAGAGATAAAGTGGAGGGCAGGAATGAGTGTACCAATGATGAAGACGATGGCAAAGTCGCGGCTGTTGCCGCCCGATTTGGCCTGCAGCTTCATTGTGTTGTTGGTTTGAAGATGGTGGAGTTGGGCTGTCGCTGAGGCTTTAATCTTATCGTGACACAGCCTCGAGTAACACAAAGGCAACCCAATTGACAGTGAATCATTACCAATCTAAAGAGACCAGAGATCGTAATAGTGTCACGTGCGGGGACATCATTGCCCCCGCTTCACTTGACTTGAGAACCCTAATGAACCTACCTACCTACCTTCTGTGCATTATTTACCAGTCGAAGAACGGTTCTTTATCACCCAAACAGTGAATAATTTGCTTCTTATCTTGATCATATCTCTTTTACGACAAGTACCAGAACATGGCGCTTCTTCCCCTTCTCAGTGAACTACACCTATTGTATCGCTTTATTATTGGTGTTGTCGGTGTTTTGGGTATTCGCTGGATCGTGTCTCGAAAGCAGCCCAACACAGGGGTTGCTAGACCTTCTCCCAAGGAGTTTACCAAGGAGTCTAATATTCCAGTGTCTGTCAACTATTTTCCTTCTCGAAAATGCAACTACACCTGCGGGTTCTGCTTCCATACCGATACCTCATCCTACGTCCTCCCGATTGATGAAGCAAAGCGCGGCTTGAAACTGTTGAGGGAAGCTGGTATGCGAAAGCTCAATATTGCTGGTGGCGAACCATTCCTCTACCCTCGTCTCTTGACCGAATTGCTCCAGTTTGGCAAGGAGGAACTTGGCCTCGAAAGTATCAGCATCGTGAGCAACGGCAGCAAAATTACAGAGAAATGGATGCGTGAGAATTGCCAATGGCTAGACATTCTTGCTATCTCATGTGATTCGTTCAATCCTGAGACGAACAAGAAGATTGGACGGGGCGACGATGGAGGGAATGTGATCCGGCTTTTCCGCATTGCGGAATGGTGCAGGGAATACGGCATCAAGTTCAAGTTAAACACGGTTGTCAACATCCACAATTGGAATGAGGACATGTCACCTGAGATCGATGAACTCGCGCCCTTCCGATGGAAAGTGTTCCAGTGTCTGCTGGTCGCCGGCGAGAATGAAGACGCGACCCGACTACGAGATGCGAGAGCGTTTCTCGTGACCGACGAGCAATGGAAGACATTCTGCGACCGGCATAAACATCTTCCGTGCTACGTTCCCGAAGATACAAATGCCATGGCGAGCAGCTACTTACTCCTGGATGAATACATGTGCTTTTTGGACAAGGGCGAGGGCATGATGACAAAGAGCGAATCGATCTTGAAGGTCGGCGTTGAGAAGGCAATGAGTCAGGTTGTCTGGGACAAGGGTTCTTTTCTTGATCGCGGTGGTATTTATGACTGGGGAAGATCCGATATGGCGAAGGAAATTGGTTGCAGCGGCGGTAGTAATGAGAAGCTGCAGTGGTGATAGTCAATCGCGATAATCTACTCATTTGATGAGCTGGAGTCGATCTCGGAAAGGATGATAGTGTCGGAAACTGTATCAACACTGGTCGGGTGTAAACACGAGCGAACAATAAATCTGATTCGTCCTCGCATAATCCTGCCTCAGTTGGTCTAGTGCGTCTCCCCAAAACGCGATTCCTTATCTGGTTTAAGCTTATCCTGTACCACATGACAACGCCTCCGCACTCGCATTGAGATATCGGCTTCGCCTATCATGCCAAACGCGGGGAGCGAGCAAGTTGGTATAAGTCACCAAAAACCCCTACCGAACTGTTATCCTGCACGACCCTGACCAGTTCTATAACTCGTATGACTTTCGCCACGTATCAATCTTGGCTCTCGAGTGAAATTCTTATTCACCCCTCCTATACCATCAACCTTTTCATTATGCACCGCGAAACATATCAGCCGAGTCTCAAGTCACAAGATACCAAAGAGGTCTCTGAAATGCCTACCAAGACAGATCGAGATGCCGCTGAATGCGGATCGATTTCTCCTGGCGGTGTCACAGTCCAGACACTGAAACCGTTCACGACACTATCTGCCCTTGGTATCGGCTATGGCACAACAAACACCGCCGTCGGCCTTCTTCTCGTCCTCGGAAGTACTCTTCCAATGGGGGGATCGCCTCTCTTCTTCTGGGGGTTCCTTGTCATGGCGGTTGTTGGTCTTGCAACAGCTACAACATTGGCAGAGCTCGCATCGGCCATGCCTCATCCCGGCGGACAGTATATATGGGTCAATCGCTTATCCCCGCCCCGATATCGTCGCTTTCTGTCATACACTATCGCTGTAGTCAGCTGGCTTGCTGCGGTTGCTACAGGCGCATCGGCGTGTCTCTCAGTGCCTACGGGCTTCTGTGCCATTATATCTCTACTGAACCCCAACTTTGTGTACAAGCGCTGGATGGGCTTTGTTGGTTTTCAACTGCTGAATATTTTGACTGTTATCTGCGCCAGCTTTGAGCATGCCCTCCCACGAATATCAAAGATTATGCTGCTCTTCAGCTGTCTGACCATTGGTGTTATCTTCATCACGCTGTTCGCCATGTCTGACAGTCACGCTTCTGCGAAGGACTACTTCACAACCTCGGTTAATATTTCAGGATGGCCAAAGGGAATTGCCTTCATCATTGGGATGAATGGGGCCAACTGGAGTTTCTCATGCCTCGACGTTGCCACTCACTTGGCTGAAGAAATGCCATCGCCCAGCACCGATATTCCCAAAGCTCTGATGTGGACTATCGTTGTTGGATTTGGCTCTGGGCTCTTGGTTGTTACCTCAGTTCTCGTCAATGTACCAACTATAGATGGAGCCGCGGACAACTCAGCTCTTTCTCTGTTCTACATGATTACCAAGAGTAAAGCAGCTGCTGTCGGCTTGTGGATTCCTGTTCTTATCACAACGGCTGGCGCGGTTTGGTCGATCCAGACATGGCAGTCCCGCCTTGCTTGGACCATCAGCCGCGAAGGTGGCTTTCCGTTGCATCGCCATCTCAGCAAACTTGCCCCTGCTCCTTTTCATACACCCATATGGTCGTTGATCTGGTCCGCCTCTGGAACTGCCCTCTTCGGCTGCCTCTATCTTGGGTCGGATCTCGCCTTCAACTCTCTGATCTCAACAGGTCTACTGCTCCAATACATCAGCTACAGTGTCCCTGTCGTATTAGTTCTTATGCAGGGACGCCGCAACTTTCAGCACGGCCCTTTCTGGTACCCCAAGCTTGGACTGATTGCCAACATTGTCATGTTGTCATGGACAATGGTGGCACTAGTTTTCTACTGCTTTCCTTACTACACACCTGTCACGGCTGTGCAGATGAATTATGCTTCCCCAGTCCTGGTCGGAATTGCTCTGTTGTCTTTGTGCTTTTGGTTCTTCCATGCCAAGAAGAATTATGAAGTGAAGGAGATTTGGAATGCCTGAGGAGTGCATAGAGTAGATAATATTTAATTGATGCTTTAGTACCTCAATAGTGCGGTCAACCAATATTGAACAATCTCTTGTAACAGCTTGTGCTAGTAATTCCTTGATCGACCAGGAGCTACAGAACCGATGAACGCTCGGTAAAGCCAACTACAACAGTTAATTCTATATCTCCTTCGCTGCTCCTGGCGGCGCTAAGTCATATGATCCGAGTTCTGGAGCTGGCTAGCACAGGCACTAAACAACTTATCGTAAAAAGCGGGGGAATCCACCACCTTCATCTTGTAACATCTTCCCCTTTGCCACGTTCTTATCTCCCTTCAATCCTGAAACGAATTGAGTCACTGCGCTCCTGAGAAAGAGTGATGATGCAGCAATCGAGCAAAATCTCGCACTCAAAGTCTCGCAATGGGTGTCTTAGGTGCAAAGCAAAAAAGGTAAGCACATCCAAAGAAATGCGCGTCCATCAGCTCACGTTTTGAGAGGTTAAATGCGATGAGCGCAAGCCTGCTTGCACCCGTTGTGAGGATCAAAACTATGAATGTCCAGGATATGCACTGAATGTGCGTTGGTCCCAAAAACACCAAACGAGGCCCAATACTGGTGAGAGCTCTTTACGTCAAAAGAAGGTAAAGAGTCGCATCAACGTTTCTTCCAATATGGCAGCCGAAAGTTTTCACCAGATGAACGGATGGCTCGATTCCCCATCTCAACTGGACTTTCTCATGCCAGCAGAGATGTTCAACATCGATAATTTATCGCAAGACCTCCTTAGGCCTGAATCCTCGCCGCGAATCAACAACAGTATGCTGGATTCGCCTGGCGGGAACTTGACAGTCTGGACTCTCCCTGAAGACCCAGGGTCAACATTCAGCATCGAGGAACCAACGGGACAGTTATTCGGTGATTTCACGAGTCATCCAATGTTTCAATCTCAGGACTCAACGCAGGAAGAACAATCTCTCGTCCAGGCTCGACACTCAAGCCTTGACCCGCATCGTCGCATGTCCAACACCCCAACCACTCTATCTGAATACTTTTTCCGCGAAGTCATTACTCTTTACTGCTCTTGGGATAGTGAACTTAATGTCATGCGCAACATCATTGAGAAAATGTGGCAGTCTTCAGGAGTGCTCTATCATACCATCCAGAGCATGGCCGCCGCATGTTTGTCAAAAGACTTTCCGCACCTGCTACCGGTTGCGCGAGAGGAACGCTCACAAGCGCTTCAGCTTGTGAAGAATAGACCTCAAGAGGTAGAGAAACGGGTGATGCTGCTTGCATCCATGCTTCTTGGCCATACATCGAGCTGGCTAAGCCCTCATAACCTTGCAACCGAGACGTTTCGAGCAAGCCAAAGCATTCTGGATGAGATTACCGGTGAGAACAGCAACAGCTCAGAGATGTTGTTTTTCAGAGACACCATGGACTACTGGGCCATGCTTCTGGTCTACCTCACAGATAGAAACGAACTGGGAGAGTACCATCGAGAGGAACGGATTGGACCCGCAAACTTAATGAAACCAATCGAACCACATCCCTACTCCGGCATTTCGCAAGATATGGTTCGCGCACTGACCGATACGGGGATACTCATTTTTCAATACCGGAAACACATGTCTACGATGAAATTCATGACTGAAAGCGATCTTGACGTATTCAGAACTGCATTGCGCGACGGAAGACGGCTGGAACGCACCTTTTTAGCACACCGAGTGCCAAATGCAGTCCAAACGAAGAACCCTGGTGATCCAAAGACACCACTGAAGCATTTGGAACTTATGGATGAAGCCTATCGATGTACAGGGTTGTTGCAGCTCTACCGAGTCTTTCCCGATCTTTTGAACGAACGATACTCACCTTGGAATAAGGATCATATTCTACGGCCTTTACCAGCACAACAAGTGCCAACAAAGGAGGAGAGACAGCTGTGGCTGACACAATTTGCTCTGTATACCCTTGGTATCTTGGAGGAGATTCCGTTTGAATCAAGAACTCGCAGTGCCCAGCCGTTCGTTATGGTTGCCATATCCGGGGAACTCAGGCAGAGCTCTCACAGGCATCAAGGATCTGAGGTCTCTATCACAGACCCCGGAATGCTGAGCATTGACAGTGTGTCTATCGAAGTATCTCGGGCTCGGAAGTTTGTCAGCTCCCGTCTGTCTGCATATACACACATCTTGCCCTTGCGAAAGAGCCAAGTCATCTTGGAGCTAATTAATCAAGTTTGGTCGGCAATTGACGATGGACAGGAGGATGCTTACTGGTTGGATATTGCTTACGAGAAGAAATTGGGCACAATGATGGGGTAGTGTAGTTGTAGTTGGTGGCTGAAAGTTGTGTCGAGGAAGTTCATGATGCTATAGACTATTCTATTTCACTGTCCAACATCTCACAACTTTCCCTCCTTGGCGCCGCCAGGGAGAGCGATCTTTGCAAACTTGAGCAGTGTTTGATAAGCTGTGAGCTTGGTCTTTAGGCGTTCTTCTGTGACGAGAAATGCGCTAGGAAACCACTCGCTGACATCTTCGCCAAGTATCATTTTGACCAACGCCTCACCCGTCAGCCAGCACTTGTCCATTCCATAGCCGTTGAATCCTGCAGCTATCCACTGTCCATCGTCACCAATATTGCCCGTCAAAGACTCGGATATCTTGCCAACTATAGGTAGTCCATCTGCTGTATGTCCTTGAATGCCCGACCAAATGGACTCTATCTCTGAAACAGTTTCCGATCCCCAGCCGTTTAAAAACAATTTTGGTAAAACATTAGAGAGTGCCTGCCTTGCTTCTTTAGGAACATAAGTATCATCTGCAGTCAGGACGTCCTTCATATAAGCCGTCTCGTTCCCGATCCAGATGCTCCCCGTCAGAGCATTTTGCTGCAAATAATAGAGTCCAGTGTCAAAGAAGCCAGTTTCGGCATCCAGAGTTGACTTGTGAGACAGGCTCCAAGATCTTGTTCCTTTGTATTTTGGGAACATCGGTCCCGGCTTTTGAACTGACATTGTTCCTCGGAATGGATAAAGACCTCCGGCCAAGTTGGGCAGCAAGTGCGCTGCGTGCCCATTCGTACAATGTATGACCCTTTTTGCTAGGATGCTCCCCCTTGGGGTAATGATGGTGTAGGGATATAGTCCCCGGGAGAACTCAACGCGAGTGACTGGTGTGTTTGTCTCAATATTTAGTCGACCAGAGTACTTGCTCAACAAGCGTTCGTAAATACCAGTCAGCAGACGATAGGGCCAAATTGCACCAGCTTCATGCTCAACAGCCCCAGATGCATTCTTGATATTCCATCTCTGTTATTTGTCAGACTTGCTGTGACTCCATTCCAGCATGAACTCGGAACGTACCTCTGGAACCTGGTCTCGTTCAATTATACTGTGATAAGCCCTGTGCTCTGGCACTTTGTCCTGGAAACCCAGAACCGAGCTCTTTGCAGAAGCCCATGTCTCGTCGTCACCAACAGCCATGACCTTTAGGACATCTCGTATCTCGCACTCTTCTTGTAAAGCACTATCGAACTCCCTGACCAGTCTCATCAAATGCTCAATATTCATGATGCTGAAGCGAGTGATCTCCTTTGCCGCTTCCGTTCCATGTTGTTCAGCCAGAGGGCCGAATGTATGCCCAGACGCAGTGACAAGATGACCCCCATTCCGTCCTGTTGCTCCACTGACCAGAGTGCGGGCCTCAAACACCGTTACACGTGAGTTTGCTGCAGACGGGTGTTCTAGGAGTGCCTTTGTGACACTGCAACCAGTGATTCCAGAGCCAATCACCGCAAAATCAGTGAGCTCTGGAAGATCTCTCGACTGTATAGAGGCTAGAGATGGATGGGGAGGAACCTGCCAAGCTGACACTGTTGGATGTGGCCTGGGTAGTCCCGGGTCTTGACGGATTGCCTTTGAAACGTTGTTGAGAAACCGGGCTGTAGCTGAGTCTGGATTCTCGTCAGTAACTAGGCTCGTGTTCCCGGTTCAAGGACATACTGAGATACAGGTTCAGCTCGTCGTCCGAACCAGGCCTGATTTGGCTTTCAATCTGTGTCTTATCGGCTGCCATGTCTGCTGTTTTACTATATCTAATTAAGTAGAAAGTGAGTAATCTCTCTCTCTATATCACACTGGAAGAAGTCCGCCTTAGAACACAGAAGTGACTGCACCAGTTGAGGACAAGGTACCAAGGTACCGCTGCCTCATTGTCTAAGTCCGAGTTGAGATTGTGCCGACGCTGCGACTTACTGTGTTTGGAAAGTGTATGCGAGGGAGATAACGACAACGAAATGCGATTGGCGGGGTCAGGCATCTCCCCACTTGCAACAAGCCATGAATTTCCAACTAAGCTTAATCCGAGATAAGCCACAAAATAGCTTCCATCTGAAGAAACATTGTGAGGGGTAATAAGTCATCCCTGCCTCAATCTCATTGTTAGTGGGTTGAATCCGGCGAACCTTCATGCGAAACCGGGGAACCAAGTAATATCGATTCTTGGTCATATTTCATCCAAAGCACTTTTCTTCTACCGTTAGACTTTTCGATTCTAGTCACAGAGATACTCCAACATTTCTCAAATCTACCAATACCCTTCTAGCTCACGGGTAACTAAGTCTCAAAAATTCAAAATGGGGATTTATATCACCGACCTCACAGAGGCAGACATTCCAGGAGCAGTGGAGGCAGTACAGTAAGTGTGAAACATATCGGTCAGCTCTGCAATTGCTGACTCGACAGGCAAGCCTTTGTAGGAGATCCTTATAACGTGTGGGTTTACGACCAAACGAAAGTGAGTGCAGAACAGCCGTCATGGAAGCTTTTACCAACGATCCCAATGCTCACGGTTGTTCAAGTTCGACCGTCAGCGGAACTTTGAATCTCTTGCCATTCGAATGAGGTGGGGAATGCGCAATGGAATCTTTCACGTTGCCAAAGAAGAAAAGAGCGATAAAGTACTGGGTGTTGCCATGTGGCTACGTCCCCAACCAGCAGATCAGCCGCCGACATGGAATGACTGGTTCGAGAACTGGAAGCTTTACTTTGGGCAAGTACGCATGAACTTGTGGTACGGTCGGGGAGGTTTAAATGTCAAAGTATGTCAACCGAGATGCTGCCTAATTGAAGGAGTTGCTGACCAAGACTAGCGTTATTATATCTGGAAAGATGCCCAAGCCGGTGCCCAGTCAGCCTTGTGGAAGGATCCCCGAGGCTACTTCTTTCTTAACATCATGGTTGTCGTCCCCGAGGCTCAAGGCAAAGGAGTCGGTGCCAAATTAATGAAAGCCGTTACAGACGAGGCCGACACCAAAGACATGAGATGCTACTTGGAGTCAAGCCGTGATGTCCCCAACGTGGCTATTTACGGACGCCTAGGGTTCAAGTTCCAGAAGGAAATGATTTGCGATGATGACGGCGACGCGATCAAGTTATTCACAATGATAAGGGAACCCCATGCTGAGCCATCCAACGGGAGGTAGACCTCAGATGTATAAATGACAAAACTAAATAGGAAATAGCCTTTCGATACAGCATAGCCAAGTCTTATGTTTGTTTTACTTCTGTTCCTCAATTCAGGGTGTCCAAAAAGGACCGCAATGCCGCCATCTCATCAGTCTGGATCGCGGAGAAACCAGCTCGGAACAGCCGGCCCCAGACCGCGTCAGGGTCCTCCAATGCAGCGCTGTCAGTGAAACCTGGAGAGGCGACACTATCCAGAGTATTGACCCAGAGGGTGATTCCGGCGTCATGGAAGTGCTCTTTTATTGCATCGACCTGTGAGATGTCCCGAAATGAGGCTTCGCAGATTAATGGCTTCAGTTCGAGAGCAAGCTTGGCCTGTTCTCGCCAGTCATCATGCTCGAGATGAGTGCGTGCGATGAATACAACGCCATGTATGGTGATATTGGCTTTGATCCAGGCTAGATCATCCTCCGTCTTTAAATCAGCCCAGAAATCAACCTGTTTTTCGACGCCCATCTTCTGTGCATACGCCAGCACTTCTGGGATGACTTGACGATGCTTGATGTCGAGGTGGATGTAAATCTTATTGCGTGTGAGTTCAAAGACATCGCGTAAGCTTGGCACCTTTTCCTCGGTGAATGGATTGTGAGGGCCTCCATCGCGGTTCCTGAGTGGAAGCGATATCAGTTCTTCCAAAGTCAACTCTTCTGGCGTCCTGTCGACTCCAGTCATTCGATCCAGGGTTATATCATGGAGTAGTACGAATTCGCCATCAGAGGTACGGCGTACGTCTATCTCAACAATATTGTAGCCAGCTTCTATGGCGCGTCGGATGGAAAGCAAGCTGTTCTCAGGAGCTTCAGTCCATAAGCCACGGTGGGCGACGATTGCACACTGGCGATGAGGATCGGCGATATATCCGGAATAGTTCATCTGTGTTGCGTCCATCTCATCACGGTTCCCTGATATGTCAAATGAGATTCAGACCGAAGAAGTCGGTGAGGGTGTGAAAGGAATGCAAATGTTTGTTTATTGGTGGCTTATTGGTGGCTTATTATCTAACTTTGTGCCGTCGTAGTCGTGGTGGGTCCTCGAAAACCAAGCAAGGCTGACCCTGCCTTCGTCTTCTAAATGTTGCCCTCAATAACTCAAGCAAAGACTTGCATTTCCCTGAATATATATCCGTCCTTCTTTCACGCTTACATACTATATATATGTCAACTAAATAGGTTGATCCCATTGCAAATCACACCAGGAACGGGGAATGCCTGTTCAACATGATGTGAGTGACGATATTTCTTTCAGATCTAAGTGGAATGACCAAGACCCTCTCGGGAAGAACAAAGCGGAAAGTGCTATTAAGCAATAGTTATCAAGTGTTGGTGTAGAAAGAAACGCTTCATGAATGCAGCATGCTAAATGACGCTTATTATATTCTAAGTGCGAGCATAACACAAGAAGCGAAAAGTCCTCTGCAACACAAAACTAGGTCTGTACCGGAGTCATGGTCTAAGATTCCTTCTTGGAAGCAGCAGCGGCAGCGGCAACTCTCCTCTTCTTAGCCATGGTGTTGAAGAAAGTTCCAAGGCAGAACCCAACCAAGCTAAAGAAAGGCGCCCATGCCTCTTTGGGTACGAACAAGGTTGCAATGGTGATCAAGACCGGGTGCATGGCGCACATAGCTTTTGTCATGGGCACCAAACCGGCGCGAACTGCAGCTCGAGCCTGTTCAGTTGTGCGCGCGCCAGCAATGACAGCCATTGATGCAAGATAGACAGTATTTTGGATGGGGAAAAACTGTAGCAAGTCAGGTAAGGAGCTGACAGCTATTGGTGGCGACAAGATAATCTACATACCAAGAGCATAGTGATGAGGTTTTGTAAGACTACTCGTCCTGGGAGACTTCGTTGTAGAGTCGTGTTGAGAAAGTGGGTCAGTGGTGCCGCGATACACGCACCATAAAACGCCATTTGGGGGACACGGGCAGTAATTGTTGGGCCGTGGCCAGGGAGCCCGTAGGCAAACCACGATGCTGTAATCTCGGTCAAGGCTGACAAAGACCCTTGAGTGAGCATCTTTGTCCTCAGTGGCTTTGACTGTAATTGTTTGAGATATGCCTGTATTGGGAGTGTCAGCTTTATCTACAGAGATACGAAGTACTCAAAGCATACACCGAGCAGCGCCTTGGCGTCAATTGTAGATTTGCCATTTGGCGAGTTCGTTAGATATGACATTTTGTTGGCGTGGCGCGACTTGTCTCCGGGGCGCAAGTGGGTGTGAGGCTGGATAAGATAGAGGCAGTTGATGAGAAGTGTCAAGTTGTCCTTGTTTGATGACGGATAGGAGAAAATTAATGATGCCTGAGGCTGAACATTGTCCCTGATTAGCCGTGCACATCAGCCGGCGCCTCGGTCCCAGCTCCCCAGTCCCGCTCCCCCTCTTATCGGAAGATTCCTGGGGAATAACAGAAGAAACATAGTTATTTCCAGCTAACCTAGACCTGAAATTTAAACAATAAATGCTGGAAACATCTCAAGGCCTTATTAAAATACTTACTACTAAGCTGAAATCTGTAAGCTTTTTATATACATGTAAAGATATTTCTATATTGCTGAAGTCCAAATAGGTGCAGAAACGGCAATGAGAAAGACGAGATTCATCGACCATGTTAGGGGCTTAATCTTTGGCTTTAGTAAACGCGATTTAACTAGCTAAATAAATAAATACGTCGACAAACGCGTGTATATTTAGGCCCGCTAGGAAACTATTGTGCAATGGCAAAGCCCGTAGACTTGCTAACATGTCGCCATTGGTTCTTAGTTTAAGAATTTCTGCATCTCTTGAATTATAGTGCACAGCATCTGGTGCGAAGTAACCACTTGGCATTCATTCTGTTTGAGTCCAGACGAACCTCTCCAACTGCAAGGATCAGGAAATCGGGGTAGATACCACATCTGGACTAGCCTAGCAAAGGAACGTGACATGCTTACTGTTCAAGGCGTTGGTCTAAGAAACGTGGTGCCCATGAAGAACCCAGGTGAGTACAAGGTACGGTATGCCGATCTTCCTTCGCCACCTATCAGCATGCTGTCCAGTCTTATTAGCTAACCTCCGGGAGTAAGAGTGCAGTAGACCTCAATATAAGGTATAGAGATAAACTCAGTAAGAGGTATCTTAATCTTATGCTAAGTTACCTGAATCTTGTTATCAGTTAGGAACTTAGTTCCGAATTTCCGAATTCTCTTCCCTTCCCCAAGCCACTGATTCCGAATGCACTGGCTTAGCTACCCCTCATTACAGTGGTCACGCAGGAGCAGCGTTGTTCAGAATGGGGGGTGACATTAAGATTTGCTCGTCAACAATACGTAGAGAAACACTGGCATACCACAAACCCCACAGCAACGGACATACATACTGCCGGCATTGGTACTCTCGCTTAATGACCGATCAATTACTAAACCATGCGCCAACAAATGCACTATCATGCCGATTTGCCGGGTGGCACGCCAGTAGCCAATATGAGGATCGAGACCACGCGGGAAGAGTTGGAGTCTCCCCACGATTGGTGGGCATTACGCATACTTCCCCATGGGGGAGCCAGGGTGCGGGGAAGAGGCTTCCCTCACACGGATTACCGGCATCCTAGACCAGCAAATATCAGGAACTGATTACACCTGGTTGGCTTGCTATAACCAAGGTTATCTTAAATGGGAGCTGTCTAGCTCACCCCCAGGTGAGTCGTGAGGGGAAAGTAGCTCTGAAAGTCGGTAAAAGCATCGGCAGTTACCTCGCTTCCTTATTTAATATGCAAGGCTTGCATATATGTGAGTAGATGTTAAATACAGCATGTGAGCAGTCTGATCCTGGTTTAACAGCCTACCGACATAGCAGTGAAAGAACGGGGACAGCAGTATCATCATGGAGATGAATTCCAATAATGAGGTATATCATTTGCAAACATCGATCGCAGCTTGCATGCTAATGGAGATCGCAGGAGATCCATGCCATCGAGGCAGAGCTCCATACCGAGATTCTCCCTGGCACAGAGATTATGAGAGATGTCGCTTCGCATCATTTTGTCAAGGACCGCTCGGGCTCCAATCGTGTCCTTATTCCTCAACCTTCAGACGACCCAGCTGACCCTCTCAACTGGTCACTCAAGTGGAAAATGCTAGCGATCACTGGAGCCAGCATGACCTCTTTCTTCCAAGGATTCGGGCCACTTGCTCTTGCACCTATGTTTGGGGATTACATTGAAGCATTTCACAGCACTCTAGCAGATGTTGTGCAGTTCACTGGAGTCTGTATCCTGGTTCTTGGCTTCAGCAACTTCATATGGTACGTTGGTGGCACCCAAGTCGAGAGGATCTTTTTCAAGCTGGGACAAACCACTAAGAAATGCCAACAGGGTTCCATTAAGCACTTCATTCGGCAGGAGACCGGTATACATTGTGTCTAACCTGATCTGCTTGGCCTCTATGATCTGGAGAGCTCGTGCGCAGACGTATGGCAGTTTCATGGGAGCTTGTGTGTACGTATTTATCAACAATAACTGGTATGACACTTTCTGACTATGATACAGGCTGAATGGAATTGGCGCTGGTCCGGCAGAGTCAATTCAACCTGCCGTCATTGCTGGTAAGCCATCACACTGAACATGTTGAGGTGTCCATATCTGATTGCTTGCTAGACATCTTCTTCCTACACGACAGAGGCAAGTGGAACACCTTATACTGGGTCGTATACATGGGTTCACTCATGATTGGCCCCATCATCGGCGGCTCCATGGCTCTCCACGTTGGCTGGCGCAACTTCTGGTGGTTCAACGTGGCCCTAGGTGCAGTTGTGGTGATCTACACCATCTTCCTATTCCCAGAGACCAAGTTTGTCTTTCGCATCCCCTTGAACACGCTGAATCATAACTAACAACCATCAGGTGGCACCGCCCTCATCCAAATGAGATCATCGAGCAGACCCGAGCGAACGAGAAGATGGAGGGTTCGGCCAAGGCTAGCCACGCCGAGGCCTCCAGACCTAACAGTGATGGCATAACAGAGCACGCCACCAGCACCGAAAAAGAAGGAACATCCCCAGAAGGATTTGCGGATCTATCAACAAGCGAGACGGCTGCAAGAGATCCATATCTCGGGCGAGGAAAGCCTGCAAAGTGGCAGTTCCGGTTCTTCCAACCCAACCCGCACCCTTTCAAGGCTATCCTTTTGGACCTATGGATCCCCTGGAAATTGTTCGCATTTCCCATCGTCCAATTCGCCAGCTTCGTCGTCTCTTGGAGCTGCTCTTCTTTCCTCACCATCAATCTAACCCAAAGCCAAGTCCTTGCCGCGCCGCCTTACAACTTCTCTACTCAGACCATCGGCTTTACCAATTTTGCTATCTTTGCTGGAGCCTTGATCGGCCTCGCCACTGGTGGTCCTCTGTCTGACTGGGTGGCCGCTAAGCTCACTGCAAGAAATAACGGTGTTCGCGAGCCTGAGATGAGATTGGTTGCCATGATCCCATTCGTTCTTATTATGTACCTTGGCAATATCATTGTCTCGGTTGGGTATGAGAACCATTGGCCATGGGAAGTCATTGTGCTCATTGGATATTCTTGCGCCGGCATCCAAGTTGCAGCCCTTCCCAGCATCTCAAGCACATATGCTGTTGATAGTTACAAACCTGTTGCTGGCAGCTTGTTTGTCAGCATCACAGTCAACAAAAATGTCTGGGGTTATGGATTTAGTAAATTCATTACGCCTTGGAGTATGAAGGCTGGGTAAGTGATCTACCAGTTTCTTTAATCGAACTGTTACTAATTCTTGCAGATTTATCCCACCTATCATGACCAACGGAAGCTTGGTTTTCCTCTGGTGTCTGTTCGGTGTTGTGTTCTACTACTACGGCAAGACATTCCGTCGTTGGACCAGGAACAG